CCATGTAATGGCTATTGGGGCTATTGCCATATACCCGATACCCCTTGCCCGGCTGTCGCACTTGCCAGCACTCGGCCTGCGAGATAGTCAGGTTAGATTATATTATCAATATATTATGCAACGAACTTTAGTAAATTACGAATTAATAAAAAATAAGACCTTAAAATGCCCATCGGTGTTTAGGTAACCTAATACAGCTAAAAATAGATTGGTGATTTATAGAAGTCGATAATACTTGGTTTCGAAACATAATATGAACCTGTCTTAAAGTGATTAGCTGACATGTGCTATGATTTGATATTAAAGGCTGGGCTAGTGGGCTCAAACGCGCTAAAGTTTAGGTGTGTATGCGAGTTCAAGGGTAGACAACGCCCTAAATCGAGATACGGTTAAATATCAAAGGTTAACACAATATAACGTAATAAAGTCGACGTTATGGAGTGATTGATGTTTTGTAATGATGTTAGGAGGAGACTGAAACGTTTTGTTTGCTTTTTGTTGTTATTTCATTTATTAACTCAAACTTTATAGGAAAAAATTGCTGCAATTAATATCACGAAAGGATCATTGAATAGTAGCAATTATTTTCCTCGTGAACACCCCATTACGTAGTTCCATGATTGTAATGGCTGGCTATGGTGTGCTATGGTGTATCGACGACGCCATGTCTGCTTGCCGAGGTCAACGGCCGCGTCGACTTGCCTATTCGATACACTTGCTTTGTTCGACTTTTGTTGCTTCTTTGATTCGAGCTAGCTTAATCTAAACTTTATGTAATAATACTAACACAGTTTCGTATTAGTTCATGTAAGTTAGTTGTATTTCTTTGGTGTATTGGATTAGTTTTGTTTTCAGTTTGTCCTCTGGTCTGGATAGTCTGCAAATGGTCTTTGATATATTATGGGTTCTAAAAGGCCAAAAATGTGTAATAAAGTCCAAAAGATAAAATATTAATACAAAAATACCGAAAAAAGAATATGACACCAAATTTATATAAATTGATTACTTACAGATTCTGCGCCAATCGTCGGAATTCAGTTATAACAGTTCGTCAATCATGCATGACACTCGTCTGCTGTATTGTATTGGTACAGATTTATTCAGTTTGTCTACCCACACATATTTATGTAATAAGGCGAAAGCGTATCAGTAGTGATACTAATGTAAATTATTTCAGAACCCACGTAATATCAAACAAACACTGACCGTGAAATTATATCTATTCACCTAACCTTGAGTTTTTGTATGAAATACGTCCGATCTTCAGTAATCCCTGTAGGATTAACTTGGAAATTACTTGGAGATTGAAGGAGATTGTTCTTTCTTCTTTGGTAATAATTTGTTGATTTATTTATCTGTCCTATAATAAAGGAAGTCTTAACTAAGTACGGTATAAATAATGAGACCGGCCCAACATTTTTGTTGCTTTTGTTGTATTTTATTTTTATTTGCTGACATCATGATGCTTGTATGTAGAACAGGATGCATCATCTTACTTTTTGTACTAAAAAATCCTTACAATGCATTTAGTGGCCTGATAATGGCAGTTGGTGCGCCACCTTGTGATAAGGTGCTGTCTGGAGTCTCGCAAACGGTTACCGTTGATAAAATACATTAGCAAAACCGGTATAATTTGAGCTGAGTTCAAAGTATTGTTTAGTGACATTGAAATTCTTTCAAAGGTGAAGCTAGAAACGCTAGTTAAGAATATCGATTGGCTAGGATATTACAGCAGGATTCAAACATATACTATGTGCAATTGAATAAGGGGTCTCTTAATTGACGCTATTTTTAATCCAACTAGCATTGCTTGAATTTTCAAGTAGTGAATATTTTTATTTGAGCATTTATTAATATTCTATAGTTTTGGTTTGGTGCATATCGCATCTAATCGTCCCTATTAACCGTATGTAGGTAAACAGCTCCATGAGAATGGGTGTTACTTATAAATAGAATGCTAATTATGTAAATAGGACTTCGTGACGGATCCGCTACGTGATGGAAAGTGCGAAACTCCAAGCAGTTATGTTGTAATGGTATATTGTTATTGATACCCTATGAAACAACTGTGTACCATGTTCTCGGAACTATGCAGTACTGTAATTTGATCAGAATGTTTTATTTACGCTGAGGTGCAGTTACAATTAAAAAGAACAATGTGGTTTATGGTGAATCCTTCTAATGCTATATTAGAATTCGATTTCTGATCTCTATTTACCAGATTACAGGAAGGGTAAACTATTTTTACAAAAGTTTTTATTTTTATTCTTCCATATTCTGTTGTCTCCATTTGTATGAGCGCGCGCCTTTAATCTGACTAATTTCGGACGATGATGGTACGTTTGATAAGAGGACCTACCTACTTTGTACTTTTTTCGTGTCCCAGAATATTGTTAGATTTCGCAAAAGATACCATTGTGTGTTCTCAGTTGTGTTTATAACAAAAACTTGTGTGAATTGTTAACTTTTGTCTCAAAGTGACGTCTGTCTGGCAATATTCTCACTGAAATACGAGATGATGTAAAAGATCCATTGTTTAAATGATACTTTATTGACTGTATTGGGAAAATTAGACATGGTAGATTAGCCTAATGAAAGAAATTGTTTCTTCATGTGTATGCAATTCTCAGAAAGTACTTCCAGCGCTCTATATCAAATGATCATTCATATGCTGTTCTACATGAATATTTATATCTTTGCTCATTATGCTTTGTTGAAAGATAAGCCTGTCCTCATGATAATAAGGGGCTAAGCGTGCGTAATTCATGTGGTCACAGCAACGACATAGATTTCTATTGTGGCTGTCAACTCGAGGGACCTTCGTTAACTGAGCCATTATGCGAGAAGGTCACCCTCAGTGCGCGACTGAATTATACCCGTTTTACCAAATAACGTGAACAAATCATTTACCAAGTTTACGAGTAAAATTCATAACTTACTTAGACCGGTCGCTTTTTATAGCTTTTAGTTATAGCTTATAATAACGCTTCATTTCATGCTTCATTTCTTGACCATTGAACAGTAGAGCATATCACCACGTTACGTCTACGTTATACAGCCACCGCTATCAACAATTATGTCGAATAAAAAGTAGAAGCGCTCAAATTATCTTCAATTTGTCAAGGTTAACGTTTAATTGTAACCTCCATGAGTAATACCATCCACGAGCTATAATTTAAAATGTTAGTGTATGAGAAGTAGGAGGCAGTTCGTAAACAAGAAATCTGAATGTGACGATTCCGCACCGGAGTGTACTTTAATGAGTCATGGAGTTACGCAACCTCACATTATTGATCCTGTTGTATTCGTACGTTAACGCTTTTATTTCGAAACTGGTTCTTATGCAAATTCCTCACACGAGCGAGTGCTAACAGCAGTAACTTTGGACATTTAGCTGCAATGTGTCAAAATTATTACTGTTTGCGTAATTAACACTATGTTGTGTCTTAGACAAAATCCTGTGTAAGCTCAAATCCTAGTAACTACCTACTTGAATCTTGCTCCAAATTGATATTGTGTGTAGTTTTTGTTATAGCACTAATAAAATGGCACATCGACTTGGTTCAGCCACTTAGGTGCGGCTATTAGTCTTGAAAGCAGTTATCTAATCTTATCACCGGCCGGCAACGTGATGTCATTCGGAATAACAAAAATATTATAGAACACTCTATCTTTGGACTGTGAATGCAATTTTTAAAGTGATTTTTGTGAAATTGTTTTGTTATTATAATTGTGATCACTTTTACGGTTGTTATTCGGAAAATTCAAGGTAACGTAAAACAATAAATACCTAGTTGCATAAGTTTTGGTTTCTATCGATGGGGAAAGTCGTAAACCGCAATTTCAGTCTTCATGGTTTTAAAATCGAAGAATAATCCACTATTATATTGACATTGAACTAAATGGATTTCTATTAGATCGGATGCCTTTGAATAAAAATGCAACAAAGTAGAAACGGTCGTGTTTATTTAAATATAAATGTGACTGAGTCACAAGTTACAAACCAAGGTCCATTCGTCTATATTTGGTATGTATTGTTGATATCATCATTTATGAGATTGGTTCCAAAATTATCGATAGGTACATGCATAATGACTGGACTGCCAGTCTTAAACATGATGTCAGGTTGTCTTGTTGCTATCCAATTAAATTAATTAAATAATATCTAATAATCTTATTTGTTACGTAGTCCAATATCAATCTGGTGCTATCTCCACAAAAGCACTTCAAGCAATCCTAGAAGTTAAGTGTTAGAATACTTATGATGATATTAGTAATCTGTTCAAGTCCGTGGCCAACATAATGACGATAAGGTCGTATTAACCTTGTGATACAGGGGAATGAAAATGTGAACATGAACAAACCTGTAACAATTCTGCAGCCAATAGCCAACTTTAGTTTAGTTTTTTATACCTACGTATAAAAAACTAAACAAATGTATGAGCAATATTTCTTATCACCATTGATAAGTTAGGTCAACATTCTTTTACTTTTTGTTTCCTTTCTACTGCTTTCAAGATTACCCAATATCCTCAGTCAACTTAGCTAGGCTACTGAACTATTGAATTTTCAAGTTACCCCTAATACAATAGGTAGGAAGCCAAAAAAGGTACCAGTAAATTGATCGCTTGACAAGCGACTCGGTGACCGTTAAAGCAACCCTCTCGCAACGATGATATTGTCACCGGTCACTGGATTAGGGTGCGTCGACTGAACTGCTGTGACAGCTATTTTAGGGACGATATTTTTGTCGTTTTTGTACCTGTCTCTTTTGAATACCCTTTAGTTTAGTTAATACTGTTAGTATTTGTCCTAGAATGTTAAGTAAACTAAACGTATCTATTCCGGTACCCGTCTAAAATTTTTATATTTCAAAGCAATGTTGTTGTCATGTGGGTTATCTTTGACTCAAATTTTGTTACTAATTGACATTGCGGTTAATTAATTAATTTTGATATTTTTGTGGTAAATTCCTAATGAGTGTTTCCTCGTCATTCCAGATAGTTGAGCGTGGCGGCGAGGTAGAGGTTGGTCGCGATGACGACCGACATATCGGTGTCCCGCTGGGACCCGTCCATCGGCCATGGTCAGGAGATCATCGACGAGTTCGAGTACGATGGCGGCAATTCGTCGTCGAGGCTATTCGAACGATCGCGCATTAAGGCGTTAGCAGGTGGGTTTTTAATATTGTCACCTTTGAGTTTTATTAAGGGTAAACCCTACCAATGCAGGCTTACTTGCTTTCCCATCAGAAAATGAAAAGACTACTAGACAACTTTGGTTTTAATTCCAATAACTACAAATGTCGATCATCATAATATATGCGAATAAGCTGCATAGATTGTCTTGCAACATGAACTCAATCGAAATGCATGATCTTTCTAGTTTTTTTTTTCTAAAACTATATTTTGTTTAGTTTGCTGTTGTTTTGGCACCCTTTTCTTATAATGATAATTTTCGGTAATATCGTGTAGTCTTATTTTCTCTCTTCTAGATCTTGTAATCTACAAGTTAATAGTCTCCTTCGTCACTTCGTAGCAGTAACTTGCAATATTTTGCAATAGTACCTACTTCCAGCCGAATTCCGTTTACCAAGCCATCAAAAACTTCCATGGAACAAACCTTTTTGTGCTGTCGTCTATGAATAGCAAGGGTGGGCCTTTCATCCACCCCATCGCTTTGCGTAGGTGTTGTACTCAACAGTAGGAATCTTCCGGCTGACATGACGTCGAAAGCCTTTTGTCTACCGACCTTTTACCTTACCTATAATGACACTGTACGTACTTATAGCCTGAAAGACATCAACGTAGATTGTCAAGCACGGAAAATGAACTTCTGAACGCATAAGACAAAGCCTCACACAAGTACCCTTTGTATGGCCAGCTGAAGTAGTTCCAGTAATGCCTTCAGTGATAGGCAACGATAAAATTATAGAAATTAATTACTAGTACATACCAAGTAAAGATTATTGGAATATATGTCAGTTCACCTATTGATAAGATTATGCCGATTGCTTTGATAAGGTTACAGAAACGGGAGCGATACGTAGATAAATACAGAAATATTTTGTACCGTTAAAACATTAACTTTGTCACCAGACAACATTGTTACTTCATAGCAACGGTAGGTTCAATGACCGGCGCATGCAAATAGACTTATCTAACAAAATGTAGGATTATTTTAGTTTTAGATAACACCTCAGAGGTCAAAACCTTGACACGCATCTGTTATTGTATAATTCAAACCATATCAACCATAACATTACTGTATTTCAGAATGCTATGTAACGTAGCTTATCGAACATCGCAAACCGCAGCATCCGTTTTTCCGTATTAAACAACGGGGTTTAAAACCCTTGGTTAAAATTATAAACATTTGGAAGCTAGGAAATAAACTGAAACTCAGTAAAAACTTTAAACTTTCGTTAAAGTATCGATTCCACGATACCTGACGCCTATTCTTATCATTGATGGTGTTATCTGTTATTTCAACCGAATCTTCTCGTAGCACCAATCAAAAATTGCCGTTTTAGCCGTAACCTTAGCGGTAATATTTGTTAAAAAATTGATCGTGTCTCATACGGTGTTAGTTGTTAACACAAATGTGTAGCAACGCTATCAACAGTGTGACGAATGTGCTAATAAATTAAAACCTGCCCTGAGTTGTCGACATCTGGCGCATTGGTATCGAATATCCTTGTCCAGTGGTAGTTGAATTTTGTCGCTCTAATTCTTCTCGTCTTTGGCCTGGGACGTTGGTTCAGTCGCCGCTCGTCGCTGGCGACATGACATCCACCGAGGGATACGAGCTGATTAAAAAAGGAGTAGATATCGAAGTGCCTGGATTAGACGTGTATTATGACAAGGTCGTGATAGAACTAAGAGGTTCGTAGTGTTGTGTTATCAGTGCTTCTCAGTGTTGTGCCTTGGATTGGATTGCGTCAGTTTGGATTTTCTTTTCTCTGCCGGATGGACAGATAAGTGTCGATGACTTCGATCTAAACGTGATTTTTATAACTAGTTTTTAGAATACCTATGCCATGTATCTATTTTAAAATAGGTACCATTTATATAATAAAGCCAATAGTTTCCTATTTAATTTTCCTTGTGGCTCTGCTCTACACGGGCTTTATTAATGTCAACAGTTATATGCTGTTCATTAATTATCAATGCGGTGAAGTCCTTATTTTATAAATATTAGGTATAGACATTACTTGAGTTAGAGAACTCGTACCTTTAACAGCTTATACACCATCATATAATGCAATTGCAGAATACCATCATTTCGAAAGATGGGCTGAATGGTTCCTGTATTTGTTACTGCTAAAAAGCTATAATTGTGCAGTATTTGCTCCTAGAAATTAAAAAATAAATGTTACCTCAGTACTTAGTACAACACCCTGCACATCTAGGACTGATTCTTTACGCTCTGAAGCGTGCGAATAGCAATCTGATCCATATCTCGAATTACACATATTATATTCCGAACCTAACACCTCATTGGAGTATTGTCGTGTGAGTTATTACGATGTCGACGGTGATCCCGGACGGGCAGGAGCCTCCACAGCCAGAGATACGACCCGCGAAGCCAGCTATCTGGTCGCCGCGACGCGGTCGTCCCCACTGGCGGTTAATGTGTTAACATTCCCTACCTTATTTTTATCGTTGTTCTCTTAATTTTAATGAGTATTTATTATGTCCATTACTTTTGGTTTTCAGGTCCGTTTGTTAAAGTATTTTCTCGAAATTCTGTCTGTCCTATTTTTAGAGATTTTTGGTACGATTTATGGACAGCAATTTGATTATTGTGGCGTCCCCCAGGGTTTGGTTTTGGGGCCTATGTATTTATCCAACTTACTCGTTGTTAAAATTACTGTATAAATATGTATATGCCTATGCACAACTAACAAATGTTACTTATTGACAGACGAACGAGAAAGCGTGCAGAAGAAAACTTTTCAAAAATGGGTGAACTCTCATTTGGTGCGCGTCGGGTGCCGTATCAGCGACCTGTATGTCGACATGAGGGATGGCAAGCAACTCATCAAATTGCTCGAAGTGCTCTCCGGAGAAAGATTGGTGGGTACTTATTTCCTATTGTTCATAATTATATCTGCTTGATCTATAAACCCTGACTAGATTATAACTAGATTTTTCAAAAAAGTTTTAGTATACTACATCTCACCCTTGCAATCAGTACCTCTTGCCTACCTACTTCTAATTACATTAGCATCATTTCCAACCATGTTTAGCGCGTCTAGACGATCGCGGAAGGTATTCTAACACTTACTAACAACAGTTGCGGTAACCATCTGTTAGGTACTTATGACGTAAACATGTGATATCGGTTCATCTTCTCTCCAAATCTTTGAAGGTGAATTACTCGTCTTTTTAAAATACTCCTTGTATTTTAACTTGGACTCACCAAAAATGCTCCATCATCTCAAAGAATGAATAAGAAGTAAATATTCCCTTGACATGTTTCTCAAACTAGTTATTAGAATTAAGGTTGGACTACTTCCCATGTTTATACCTACAAACAATAGTCTAGTTATGTACATAAGAAAAACAGAAAATAGGTAGGTAATTTTCTGGTAGATGACAAAATGTTATGCGCAGCATGATTTTATGTAGATATGTATCTTCCTGATAAGTAGATGCGTCACGATTCCGTCCAATTGCATATTACAAATACGTTATAGCTGATCTGCAATTAAAAACTCATGATCACATTTCAAGTGAAGATTAATAAAAATTAAATAAACTTGTTGTTTTTATGAAAATCAAAATTGCCCATAAAATATACGGTACGCACACTGCAGCCCTATTTATAACGTTTTCATGTCCCCATTAAACTTATTATGGGTTGTGGGAACCTTTAATGAAAGTAGAAAACTGGTACAGCAGTTAAACTACTTTTGTTTATGTGAGAATATATTTAACCAACCAGTGCAATTTTCACTCGAAGATTTCCTAATATCAGAAAATAAGTCCCTTAACTTAAATTGTGTTTCTTAATTAAACGTTTTACTATTTACAAAGGACAGACTAGAGAGCCATTCTTATACTTCACCCTAGAGTCGAACCAGTCTAAAGCAATCACCCGTAAACAAAATCACCTAAGTTATTTAGTGCCTCTCATTGTAACCCAATCTATGTTAAATTCAAGTTCTTATACACACGTAGGTTGTTATAAAAAGCAAACAATAGCCAGCTTCGACCTGTAGAACCGGACTTATCCAGGCTTTGGCGACGCGACCAAACCGAAATGTATTTTGAATTCTTGTATTTGCTCTCGGTAAAACATACTGCATTATTTATAGTCCACTGTTCTGTTATTTACGACCTATGCAGACGTCCTAAGGTTATTGTCGGGAACACAGACATGTATTTTGTAGCATAATACTCGTATTTTCTTACTGTAAGCATATTCAATAGATCGTACATGGGGTTTATTGTAGTTGTCTTGTCATTTCAATTAAAGTGTTCCTTTATACATCAGTCACTTTAATCAACAATGAATTGCCTTAACTCTGGCGAAGAGCCGTCAATGTTGTCGCTCGAATAAAGAGAAACTTTACACCGCAGAGCATAGCAAAGCACCATGATTAATGGTTCAGTATTGAACGTCGTGACAAACATCACGCGGCTGTCACCTTTCATCATGTAATGCGGCTATAAAGTTTATTTTATCCTATCTGATAGTTAGCATGGCCTGAAGTCACGCACTCTCGCCATGGTCTTGGTCGTTCCGCGATAAATGTTTTGCCCAAACATGTAAAAAACTGTTTTATAGCTATCCGTGTATTATGTTGTTCTTAGTAAGAACACGTTTTTGTTGTACCTTATTACCTTTCAAAATTGTGGTTTTATTAAGACAATGAGCTATGTGTGTAGAAGGCACGTCGACTTTTCATTAATTAGTCTCTTGAAATGTGGACGAATACGATCCGTGTACGGTTCGTAAATATGAACATATTTTGTCGCTAGCTCACTTATATTTCATTCATGAGATGTTTCTATCCAATTCACAACTATACGCCTAATGAATTGTGAATGTCAATAGTGCAGAACCAATAAATTTCGTCTTTATGATTTTCGTTACCTGTCAGAGTACGAGTACGTTAAGCTACTACTATTAATTTTTTATATAATTGATAGTTAGAAACTGGTTCAATAGTAGGATGCTAGTTTATAATGAAAGATTTTTAAAAGCCATCACTAGTAATAAATTCGCATCCGCGTGACTCATAACTTCCCCATGCTATTTCCCGATTCATCCCTTGTTGAAATCAAGTGATTCATATCTCTAGGATGCGTTAGGTTTCAACATCTGAGTCTTTTCTGTTTTGGACTGATAATATTTATACCTAGTATTTAGCTCTCAATGTTAGGTGACTTTTCTTCATGCATCTTTTATTTATGCTTCACCTTTAAACATTTTTATTTAGGCTCACTTAATTTACTTTACTTACACTACATTTCCCATTTGCAGCCACGCCCAACAAAAGGAAAGATGCGTATCCATTGCTTGGAGAATGTGGATAAGGCGTTGCAGTTCTTGCGCGAACAACGAGTGCATTTGGAGAACATGGGATCCCACGACATCGTCGACGGAAACCCGAGACTCAGTCTCGGTCTTATTTGGACCATCATTTTGCGCTTCCAGGTAACTTGATCGTATATGTGAAGTACTAAGAATATTCAAATGTCTATAATTATGTTACGTGTAACATGATATCGACCTTGAATAAGGTCGTATTGCGATACATATGTCTCAGAGCACCGATTAGCTTAATCACTTCTTGAAATTGACGTAAAATGTACAGTAACGAAAAATAAGTAATGTTTTGGGTTGTTATGTGCTATTGTAGTCCTTAAAATAACGTGTTTTCTGTAGTTTTGTTTCTATACCTGTGCTTATCACAAACGTAAATCATGACTAGATTAGATAGAGATATCCTATGGGTCTAAAGAAAATGGTTGTCGATTCATTCATCTTTGTTGACATTCCTACTCAAATCTATTTAAGTACAGATTTCAATAGATTTGTAGAATGTTATGAAGTTTATAAAATATGTATACTTGTCATTTATCCTTAAAACAATACACATACTCGTATAATTTGCCTCCAACAACTAATCAGACGTTGCTCATAATAGGGAAGGAAATTAATTTATGTAGTTTAACCTAAATTGTCATACAATGTCTATAAATACTCTTACATTGATTTTTAATCTCAATAAATGTGGTGATAAACATATGCTTTTGGCATAAGGTATAATTATTAAACATTTTCATACATACATTTAAATATAGAGTATCAGCTTGTATTCACATTTGAGCAATTAATCATTAGTGGCTACATTTGTACTGCAGGACTCTATAAAGAACTGTTGAATAAATACAGAGTAGGTACATCTAATTTTAAAAAATATACTTAAAGGACAATGCATAGCTATCGTTGAAGTATTACATTCTTATTTTTGTCAAAGTTCAACTCATTCATCATTGCCATTCTCTGTAACAGATCCAAGACATCACAATCGAGGAAACAGACAACAAGGAGACAAAGTCAGCCAAGGACGCTTTACTCCTCTGGTGTCAAATGAAGACAGCTGGTTACAACAATGTCAACGTCCGAAACTTTACGACCTCATGGCGTGACGGGCTCGCGTTCAACGCGATTATACACAAGCACAGACCCGACCTTATTCAGTTCGACAAACTGCACAGAAGCAATCCCATGCACAACTTAAACAATGCTTTCAATGTCGCCGAAGAGAAACTTGGACTCACCAAGCTGTTGGATGCTGAAGGTGAGTTTCAAAGTCGCTTTCGTATATCGAAACATAGCTACTGAAGTTTTCACTGTCGTTAAGGTCAGTCAGAAGTCTAAAGAATCTGACACCAGAAATGTGGTATCACCCAAAATGGATCGTGGAGGACAGATATCAGCGGTCTCATAAAATATTACAACAGTTATTGGTAAACTACTGTCAGCCCAGGAAAAGCATGTAAAGAAGTGGCCTTTAAATGATTTGTAGTATAAATAAATATACTGATTTTGTTATCTTACTCACAGATATCGCCGTCGACCACCCCGACGAGAAGTCAATCATCACATACGTGGTGACGTACTACCACTACTTCAGTAAGATGAAGCAGGAGACGGTGCAGGGCAAGAGGATCGGCAAGGTTGTCGGCATCGCCATGGAGAACGACAAGATGATGCAGGAGTACGAGTCGCTTACCAGGTCCGTATCATAGTCAATTAAGGTTACTTTGTTAATTTTATGAAGTTCAATTAAGTGTTGAGTTTTATAGGTGGTCGTTAAGTCGTTCGTATAAAAGCATTAATGACGAAACCCTTCAAACTGAACTGTCGTATGTTATACTTCATTTTTTGCTTGTTCTTTTCTAGAGGACAGCCAATTAATTTCACGCAAATGACTAAGTTGAAATAGTCTTACATGACATGGGCATCGTACAGAATATGTAAATGGTCTATTTAAACTTAACGTTAACTCAGTCAACATTGTATTAAGACATAAAATTTTTGTTTCAGCGATCTCCTGCAATGGATCGAGCGTACTATCGAAGCGCTCGGCGACCGAACATTCGCGAACTCACTGGAGGGCGTCCGCCAGCAACTCATACAGTTCGCCAACTACCGCACTGTGGAGAAACCACCCAAGTAAGTGTAAAGTTAACTAGTTATGATGAGTGTAAATTAAGAAGTAATGAGGCTTATGAACAGGGAATATTTTATCCTTTTTTTACTTATTAAAAACGTAGAGTGAGTACAGACGCTAGTTCTTCATTAATAAGGTTCTTCAATTGATTTTCGACTGTTTTATAAAACTATAAGGTTAAAAATCTCTTAAAGAAATTAGATTAAAGCATGTTCGTGTCTGTTCTATCTTTCATGCTCAAATGATGTTATTGTACATTGTTCTATTCAGAAAACAGAATTTTCAATGAGTTTATCTAAGTCATATACGTAGTATCTAAGTCATATATGACTTGTTGTGTGGGAGCAAAAGTAAACAATTCCAATTTTACATGTTGTTTACATTTAATCTCGTACAGAATTTTTCTTAGAAGTAAACAATGCGATGCATTGTTGAGAATTTTACTTGCATATACAATTATACACATAATTTTATATTAACACAAAACAAATACTACATCCTTATTTACTAATTGCTCCTGCTTTGTGAAGACATCCAGCTTCTTTAATGAACAGACTGACTGTTTTCACTTAGGCATTATTTTGTTTTATGTGCTATGCTTCTAATATTGTTTTTATTCTCACAGGTTTGTGGAGAAGGGTAACCTGGAAGTCCTTCTATTCACTCTCCAGTCCCGCATGCGCGCCGCCAACCAGAAGCCGTACACTCCTCGCGAGGGCAAGATGATCCACGACATCAACCGCGCCTGGGAGAGGCTCGAGAAGTCAGAACACGAGAGGGAACTCGCACTCCGAGAGGAACTCATCAGGCAGGAGAAACTTGAACAACTTGCTGCCAGGTATGTTGACTTACACAAAACTAAATATACCTGCTACATTTTTTCACAGTTCCTTCCTATCATATTCTTAAATAGTCGCTAGGAATTTATATTGTTTTGGTGCCCTTTTAGCCTGTTAGTTGGCTAGGTAGTAGTAGAAAGCAAGGCAACGTTCGACTAAAAAAGTAAATAAAGCAATAGAAAATGTTACGACTATGTATGTTCATGTTCATTATAACAACAAACTAGTGGTAAGAACTAAAGCGCTAAGTTTGACATTTGCGCTTCCATGACTTTATTACATAGATGAAATTTAAAGTATTACTACCGTGTTTGCTGTTAATATTTATTCTCATGAATTATTTGTTCGAAGTCTGTTGAACATAAAACCCTAATATATTTTATGGCCACTATCAGTACATATATAATATTTTCTTCGTCTTTATAAGATTTAGGTAGGAATAAAGTACATAGGGTTAGCACAATATATTCTGTCTCTCTCTCTTTCTCCAATCTCCTGTATTATCGACATTAGATAGTTATTTATTAAACAATACTTGTTACAGATTCAACCGCAAGGCTCAGATGCGTGAGACGTGGTTGTCTGAGAACCAGCGTCTGGTCAGTCAGGACAACTTCGGCTTCGACCTGGCGGCAGTAGAGGCGGCCGCTAAGAAACATGAGGCTATCGAAACTGATATCTTCGCGTATGAAGAACGTGTACAAGCTGTCGTTGCTGTATGCTCTGAGTTGCAGGCTGAGAGGTATGACGTGTTTTATGTCGTTTTTATTTTTCGAGTACTTATTGTCTTTACTCGGTTTGAGAGATTAAAGCTAGTATATTATTAATTAAACTGATTCGAATAAAACATATTGACATACGCATCCACTGAAATTGAAAACATTTATAGTTGAACTTTTCAAAGTAAGAAATTGCAATATAGAGGAGGAAGTTGATTCATACAAAAATCTTTGTAATAAAGATGCATGACTATCGTAATAAGTGTACGATAAGTTTCGCTTATATTGCACTTGTGCTCTCACTCCTATGTGCGTATGATACGACACATCACGCATGTCGTCTTATATATAAGTCTCAAAATAATATTGATCACTTTTACATGAAGTATTCTAACAAGAACAATGTGTGTCCAGATACCACGACATGGAGCGTGTATGCGCGCGGCGCGACAACGTCCTCCGTCTGTGGGCGTACCTGCTGGAACTACTGCGCGCCAGACGGGCGCGGCTCGAGCTCAGTCTACAGCTGCAACAGAACTTCCAGGTCATTTATTTTACAGCTATTGAAATTATATTCTACAAATTCATTTTCCTTCTCATTTTGAGGAGAGATTGGTGATGATAAGTCTACTAATAATGGCTGAAATGTTTTTACATTTTTGTTTCCTACAACTACTGTTTCATTATTAATTTTATTCTATAATATTTCTGGAAAAATATACTTAAACATCGCTTATATTCGGTGTTAGACTTCAATTTTTTAAAACTAAATATTAACAAGACGATTTCCCACATAGGAGATGCTATACATCCTGGACTCCATGGAGGAGATCAAGATGCGTCTGCTGACGGACGACTACGGCAAGCATCTCATGGGCGTCGAGGATCTACTCCAGAAACACGCGCTTGTAGAGGCTGACATCAATGTACTGGGAGAGAGGGTCAAGGTTAGTCATGGAAGATTATTCAGGAGGAATCTACCATTCTATAACTTTATTTTTACCTAGGAGCAAGGGTAATCCTTAAACTACATAGTTTTGCAGATTCGTTGGGGATTAATTACTTTGAATATTTTTAAAGCGAATTATTTTTTTTAGACCAGTCAGAGTTTAAAAAATTGAGAAAAATATCTAAATAGTATGCTTTAAAGTTCTTTGATAATTGTTTAACGACAATAGTAATTAAGCATGGTCTCTTTGTTCCGTAGGTGGTAGTAGGCCAATCCCAGCGCTTCCTGGAGCAGGAGGAAGGTGGTTACAGGCCGTGTGACCCCGCCATCACAGTGGAACGTATACAGCAACTCGAGAACGCCTACGCTGAACTCGTACACCTCGCCGTCGAACGCAGGTACTTACACTTATATTGTCAAAGATATTTTAGAGCTATTTTCTCATAAAATATATCTATATAAACTCTCCATGGTCCCATAGAGGTAACACAAACCAAAAAGGATTTTACTTTATGGGCAACAATATGTCTTGTATAAAATATAGATGCTCCTTTCCTGTATTCACTTTGTGTTCGTTGCATTTTGTCATTCTTTATAGTAATTAGTAATTTCATATAAAACATGGTGTTCATGTACACTACAGTATATTCTTTTCTTATTCCGTAACAGAAAGCGCCTGGAAGACAGCCGCAAGTTGTGGCAGTTCTACTGGGACATGGCCGACGAAGAGAACTGGATCAAGGAGAAGGAACAGATCGTCTCCGTTGATGACATCGGACATGATCTTACTACCGGTGGGTTTTCTTACTTTTGCGTAATCTATATAAATAGTTATTTACTCAAATCTCGGTTGTGGGTTGGAATTATTCGTAGTTTTGGATGAAGTCATTTGTATAAGTAATTGAATGTAGTAAAAAATAACACTTATGATATTGTATTAAAAGTAAGATTAAAAGCAGCATTTTAGTGACAAGATATACTTCTGAACATAATGCTATAAAACTTATTTTGTTTCATATCACAGGTGTCAAGTTGAGCTAATTTAGCTCTGAATATAGCCACTATACACTCTAAATTCGAGTTTTCAAACAAAAAGATGTCGTACATCCCAATACATAAAGTGCTTATTACTATAGGCATGGAGATATTTGCGTAGTCGACAGTTTATAGAACAACTATTTGATCTATGTAATGTGATTGTCGGAGGTAGAAGTAGGTCAGTGTACCGACATAAGGTCGCCAATATGTCGTCGCTAGGTTTTAATTAATTTAATTGAAGGGGAGGAACTCCAACACAGGTTTTATTGTTTGATCCGGTGCGGTATGACGTCATTCACTGTCTACATTATGTCTTTTGAAGCGTCAAATTAAATTGGATTAGATATTTTTATCTTCTGAGAAAACAAATAAAAAAAATACTGATTTTCGATTGTTTATTCATTATTTGGCGCTAAAGACACATAAAGTGTTATTAGCCTAATCATTTAGCTTTACCAGGGTACCTAATCAGGATATTAGGATTTCAATATTCAGCATATTTTTGTTTATTGACCTTACCTTACCTCTAGTAGTTTTAAAACTGGGATCAAATATTGATGATAGACTACTGAATTATGAAATAATTACTTACTTTGACCATAACAATTTTTAATCTTTTTTCTTTTGCGCAGTGTATCTCCTGATCTCCAAACACAAGGCCCTGGAGGCGGACGTACAAGCTCACGAGCCACAACTCATGAGTGTCGCTGCGGTCGGAGACGAACTCATCTCACAAGGACACTTTGGAGCTGATAGAATACAGGTAATATGCTTACCTTTTATAATTGTAGATACCATATTACGTATTAAAATAAAATAAGACAAACTACTTAGAACTCAAGGTTTATTTTTCAAATTTATGCTTTTCCACATTTGTTATAAACCTACTATTCTTCAAGATTTTTGTTTAAGCATACAATAACGAAGTACCATTTATCTAAAGGACCGTCTCCGCGACATCCTGTCCCAATGGAACCACCTATTGGACCTGGTCTCCCTGCGCAAGAACCGCCTCGACGCGGCCGTGCGCTACCATCAACTCTTCGCTGATGCTGATGATATTGACAACTGGATGCTGGATACACTCAGGTATGGATATTGCAGTTTTTTTTTAAAGTTTTGAGTAGTTTGGATATATAATCGTTGCGCAAAGTGTATAAAGTTTGCAAGAGTCTTAGGAAGAGTTAAAAAACAATCTTATTTAGGATTATGATTACAATGTGTAATATTTGTTTGCTAGGTTGGTGTCATCTGAGGATACCGGTGTTGACGAGGCTCAAGTACAGAGCTTGCTGAAGAAACACAAGGACGTTACTGACGAACTCAAGAACTACGCTAATGTTATTCAGCAACTTAAACAACAGGTATGTTATATTATTGATCCTGTATAATGAATTAATTACTGAATACGATAATTTGAACTGTCATATTATTTCTATTTGGTCTTATTTCAGAAGGTAGGTCATTGAGAAAGAAAACTTGTTTTGGTTTTTATTTAGACTGATATATTTTAATCGTAATAGGATTTTGTTTAAGTTAACACACTTGGTAATTTGAGAGTTATCAGCATTATTTTTAGGAATATTATCTGATTAATTTGATAAGGAGCATAAAGATGAGCGTGTATGTGACGCGGTATACGTGTGCAGGCGGGCGCGCTGTCCCCGGTGGACGCGACGAGCGCGGAGGTGGTGTCCCGGCTGGGCGCGGTGGACGCGCGCCACGGCGAGCTGGCGGAGCTGGCGCGCCTGCGCAAGCAGCGCCTGCTGGACGCGCTCAGTCTCTTCAAGCTGCTGGCCGAGGCCGACGCCGCCGACCAATGGATCGCCGAGAAGGACCGCATGCTCGACACCATGCTGCCGCCCAAGGATATCGACGATGTCGAGATCATGAAGCACAGGTATGTTATCGATCACATGGATCTCACCACCATCCTCTGTTGGTCAATAATCTGCCTTAAACGAGTGAAGTTACAATCACCTGTTGACATAATCATCTTCATCGTCATTCTTAGCAGAAAATTTGGGAATAAACCAGGCTGTAACCATACCAACAAAACGCAAGTTCTTACACAGAAAATCGATAATCATATCTCTTGATCGGTGATGGGCGATTTCATATTTGAGACTATGAATATTACTTAACCTTTACACAAAGACACAGAAACTTAACACATTTTTTCCATAGATACGACGGTTTCGACAAAGAGATGAACGCCAACGCGTCTCGAGTGGCCGTAGTGAACCAACTGGCGCGCCAACTCATCCACGTCGAGCACCCGCAGGCCGCGCGCATACAGGACAGGCAGGCTGCACTCAACTCCGCCTGGAGCGCGCTCAGGGAGAAGGTAGGGTTATATATCTTACTGTTACAGTTTAAACTATGGCAAGACTTTTAAATGTGTCTAAGGATAGCAGTTAGTGAAGCAAAATCTATAGTTAAAAAAAAAATATGGTCTAATAAAGTTTCATGGAAAACATTTTATGAGAAAAATAATAGAAAGGATAATGTTCCCCAACAGAGAAGTTACATGTGTACTTTAAGCGCTGAAATATCTAAGTACTTTTCGCGAGCTACGTAACAAATCTCATGTATTAAAGGATGACCTAATTGTCATAAATTGTACCAATTCCAAGCACCAAATTTAGACAGCCAAAACCCAAAATAACATTGGATTTAATGGAAATCTAACCCCTTTGCTAAGTAGCGGCATTTCCAACCACTTGATTAAAAATTTGCATAAAACTTAACGTTCACAATAAACACAGGCGGAGGGCAAGAAGGACGAGCTGAAGTCCGCCCAGGGCGTGCAGACGTTCCACATCGAGTGTCGCGAGACTGTCTCCTGGATCGAGGACAAGAAGAGGATTCTGCAACAGACCGACAACTTGGAGATGGATCTCAACGGTAAGTCGACATTTTTTGCTTACAGCTAGTAGATTTGATTACCAGAGGTGTACTGATATGTCAGAATTCTATCTCTGGTGCATAACTAAATCTACAGGATATTAAAGCGGGTTTTTATTTATGTAATGAAAAGGAAATCATAAAATCTTCTACTAGAATTCCAATAATGTTGCATTAGCTAAACTTTTTAAATATTTAAATAAATTTACAAAAATAATTTTGAGACAAATAGATACAGTTGAAATCAATAGTATCTGTTTGCAATCAAACAAAATGTAGACAAATGAAATACCTATATGTATAAATGTAGTTACTAAGTTATGATTGTAATGTAATTTGATCAGGCACAGACACGCAGTCTTTGGTTTCCTAGATGATGCGGTTACAGGCTCATACTAGACAATAAAAATAACTATTTCAAAGTCATTCTTGCGAAGATAATGAGCACTTACGGTCGATTTTTATATTTTAAATGTGTTGTTATGTTTATTGTAAACCCCGACCTGTAACTTGGTAACATTTTGTCGTAGTGGGGATAAATTTGGGCATCGTGGATTTAGTGTACCTACTTTTATTTCTTTTAATATTTTATTAATCATGGCTTCACAGTAGTATTTTCTCCTGTGATGTAGGTGCGTTTAAAGTGTTGTTTATCAAAGCTCGTTTTCGTGTTGAAATAATCCTAAAAACTATGTTCCTCTCTTAGGTGTGATGACCCTCCAGCGTCGCCTATCAGGCATGGAGCGCGACCTAGCCGCGATCCAGGCGCGCATCTCGTCCCTGGAGAGCGAGGCCAACGCCATCGAGGGAGACCACCCAGAGGAGGCACAACTCATACGCGACCGTGTCACCATGATCACGGAGAACTGGGAACAACTTACGCAGATGGTAAGTTATGTTGCTGGTCTTTCTTTGTCTGTGTATGTTAAACAGAGACATATTGATTTGTTTTTGTGGAATACGCCACATTTGTCTCCTCCAAACGTGCCGACGGATCACCTGATTAAATGAACAAGTTCCCAAGTTCCGATTAGTAACAAACATATATGGTCACAAAGTCTTCGTGTATATTCAACTAACGTACAATTACTTCTTTAGCTCAAAGAGCGCGATGCGAAGTTGGAGGAGGCTGGCGACTTGCACCGCTTCCTTCGCTCCGTGGACCATTTCCAGGCCTGGCTCACCAAGACACAGACCGACGTCGCTTCCGAGGGTTCGTACAAAGGACAAATAATGTTTACCACATTTAATATCTCTGAATTTCTGTACTTATTAAATTCGTTTCATTCGTTAGATACGCCATCAAACCTGGCGGAGGCAGAGAAGCTGCTGTCTCAGCACCAGACCATCAAGGAGGAGATCGACAACTACAAGGACGAGTACGCCAAGATGATGGAGTACGGAGAGAAGATTACTGCCGTACGTAGCTATATACACTAGAATATACCTTTACAATATTATAAGAATTCTTCAAAGACATATATTGCGCATAAAATAAAAAAATGTGTTAATGTATCTGTATATTCCACAGGAGCCGTCCACCCAAGACGACCCGCAGTACATGTTCCTGCGCGAGCGCCTGAAGGCGCTGCGCGAGGGCTGGGCCGAGCTACAACAGATGTGGGAGAACAGGCAACAACTGCTGGCACAGAGCCTCGAGCTGCAGCTGCTGCAGCGGGACGCCCGCCAGGCAGAGGTCCTACTGGCGCACCAGGAACACAGGTACTTACTACCCATCAAGCTGCGTATATGATCAGTAGGGGGCACTTGTTTAGGAGTGTTCAGTTTAATGCTTTTGAAAAATAGAGGGTTAACCAACAATACCTTTTACAGGTTAGGCAAGACCGAGCCACCAACCAACTTGGAGCAGGCCGAGAATATGATCAAGGAACACGAGGCTTTCCTCACCACCATGGAGGCCAACGACGACAAGATCAACTCCGTCGTACAGTTCGCCAACCGACTCGTCGAGGAGAGACACTTCGACGCCGACAAGATCCAGCGCAAGGCTGAGAACATCGACGCCAGGCGGAATGCCAACCGGGAGAAGGCACTTCAGCAGATGGAGAAACTCCAGGACCAACTACAGCTGCACCAATTCCTGCAGGACTGCGACGAACTCGGAGAGTGGGTGCAGGAGAAGAATGTCACTGCACAGGACGACACATACCGCTCTGCCAAGACCATCCACTCCAAGTGGACCCGTCATCAAGCTTTCGAAGCAGAAATCGCGGCTAACAAGGAACGCCTGTTTGCCGTACAGAATGCTGCTGAAGAGCTCATGAAGCAGAAACCCGAATTTGTCGAAATCATCTCCCCGAAAATGTCCGAACTACAAGATCAGTTTGAGAACCTGCAGACTACAACTAAGGAGAAGGGAGAACGCCTATTTGACGCTAACCGCGAAGTTCTGCTGCACCAGACTTGCGACGACATCGACTCATGGATGAACGAACTCGAGAAACAAATCGAGAACACCGACACCGGCACTGATCTGGCATCTGTGAACATTCTCATGCAGAAGCAACAGATGATCGAGACACAGATGGCCGTTAAAGCCAAACAAGTCACCGAACTGGAGACTCAGGCTGAATACTTGCAGAAGACCGTCCCGGACAAGATGGACGAGATCAAGGAGAAGAAGAAGTCGGTGGAGCAGCGGTTCGAGCAGTTGAAGGCGCCATTGTTGGATCGCCAACGTCAACTGGCCAAGAAGAAGGAAGCCTTCCAGTTCCGCCGCGATGTCGAGGATGAGAAGCTCTGGGTGCACGAGAAGATGCCACAGGCTACCACCACGGACTATGGCAACTCCCTGTTCATCGTGCAGATGTTGCAGAAGAAGAACCAGTCGCTCAAGACTGAGACTGACAACCACGAGCCGAGGATCCTGACTGTAATCTCTAACGGACAGAAGCTGATTGATGAGGGACATGAGGATACGCCCGAGTTCAAGCAGCTTATTGAAGAACTTACCGCGAGGTGGCGAGAACTGAAGGGTGAGTCTCACTACACACAACTAAGAAATCACTTGAATTAAGTAAAGAATTAGGAGCATTACTAATTTCTTTGGTTTTCGCAGATGCCATCGAAGAACGCAAGAACAAACTGTCCCAATGGGAGAAAGCGCAGCAATATCTATTCGACGCGAATGAGGCGGAGGCGTGGATGAGTGAACAAGAGCTGTACATGATGGTGGAGGACCGCGGCAAGGACGAGATCTCCGCACAGAACTTGATGAAGAAGCACGAGATACTGGAGCAGGCCGTCGATGACTACGCGCATACTATCAGGCAGCTCGGGGAGACTGTACGACACCTCACTGCTGATGAACATCCGCTCAGGTAACTTACTATATTTGTGTGAAAGTAATGTGACTGGGTAGTGTGATACGCAAGGGATTTGCGGTTCGAAACGCAGTTTGGTCGACACCAAAGTACAATAAGATTTTTTGCGCCTCTTCCCCTTCAAGAGACAAAGGCGAGAGGTATGTATCATTAGGATGTATAAAAGTTTATAGAGCACAGAAAAAATATCACACTTTATCAAATACCTATACATTTCACGCAAGCAATATCTACAACCAATGTTTTTGTTACAACAGCGAGCAGATCTCAGTGAAGCAGTCGCAGGTGGACAAGCTATACGCTGGTCTAAAAGATCTGGCAGGCGAGAGACGCGCCAAGTTGGATGAAGCACTCCGCCTATTCCAACTGTCCAGGGAGGTTGATGACCTTGAGCAATGGATCACCGAGAGAGAACTTGTGGCTAGCTCACAAGAACTCGGACAGGATTACGACCATGTCACCGTAAGTAAAAGTGATGCAATTTATTTTTTATTCTTTCTTTAATTATTAGTTACTATCCATACGTCATGTTAACGTCAGGGAGTTAGTAATTCAAAGTGGTTAAGAGTTGTTAAAAGTGCTTAACTGTCGTTAAGTCAGTATTATTGATCTTCATAGAATTGGTTAACCACTTAAATAGTGGTTATGTATCGCAACATCTATCTATACGCATGATTTAAACTTGATCTTACTAAATTAATTTGTTTTTCTTACAGTTATTATGGGAGCGTTTCAAGGAATTCGCCCGCGAAACTCAAGCAGTTGGATCCGAGCGCGTGGCCACCGCGGAACGTATCGCCGACCAGATGATCGCCATGGGACACTCCGACAACGCTACCATCGCGCAGTGGAAGGAGGGACTCAAGGAGACCTGGCAAGATCTGCTCGAGCTTATTGAGACTAGGACCCAGGTCAGTTATAACACATACCATTTATCGGATCAGAGCCCAATATAAAGTGTTGATTTTTTAAAAATTCGTATGTATACTCACTGTACCTTCTTTTCCAGATGTTGGCAGCTTCCCGTGAGCTTCACAAATACTTCCACGACTGCAAGGACACGCTCCAACGTGTCAATGAGAAGGCGCGCGGAGTCAGTGACGAACTGGGCAGGGATGCCATCAGTGTCGGAGCTCTGCAGAGGAAACACCATAACTTCATGCAGGACCTTAGTACTCTGCACCAACAGGTATGGAAAATAGGAATTTTTAAGTGTTAAGTTTTGGTGGGCCCATTATCGCTTACCACCAGGCGAGATAGTGGTCAAACGTCTCCCCATCAAATATAAAAAAAAGACAGGTGATGAATAGACTATGCTATATTACTGCCTAAGGAGGTAGTTGGGTTTTTCAGAGGGATAGTCTGAATTCTGAATATGTTAGTAAATTGTCTACTGATTAATTGAGGTGATATTGAGAAAGGACTGATGTAAAGTGATGGATCTGTGTGTACTGTATATGATGCGATACTTGTTCAGAACATGCACGTAAGATTATATAAGATGGCGTAATGGTGCAGATTTTCAGCTTAATTATTTAGTAATAAAGTAGTAGTTGGTTTGTGTAGTGTAAAGACGGGCATATGTCCAGGTGGAGGCCATCCGCGCCGAGTGCGCGCGGCTGGGCGCGATGTACGCGGGCGAGAAGGCGGCGGAGATCACGCGGCGCGAGGCGGAGGTGCGCGAGGCGTGGGCCGCGCTGTCGGCGGCGTGCGGCGCGCGGGCCGCCAAGCTGGAGGACGCCGACCACCTGTACAGGTTCCTCAACCAGGTGCGCACGCTCACGCTCTGGATGGACGACGTCGTGCGCCAGATGAACACCGGAGAGAAACCACGGTAACTACCTACTCAACTAATTGTGCTTTTCAAAACTGAAAAAATATGTACTTCGTTGAATAATGTCTATACAAGTCTACACGTTATTTCGGACGCTGTTGTAGGTGGGACATAATTACAAACAGTGCTTATGATCAAGGTACCCGAAGCGACCCGAGTACGAAGATGCTCATATAATGTTAATGCATAAACTATGGTTATTAAAACCCTTTTGTCTACATATTTTCAGTGACGTCAGCGGCGTAGAACTCCTAATGAACAACCACCAATCTCTGAAGGCAGAGATTGACACCCGCGAGGACAATTTCTCAGCTTGCATATCATTGGGTCGCGAGCTATTGGCACGACAACACTATGCGTCCGCCGACATTAAGGAGAAACTGCTGCAACTGACCAACCAACGCAACGCCTTGTTACGCCGCTGGGAAGAACGCTGGGAGAACCTTCAACTCAGTAAGTGATAATTTTGAGAAGTGCTGTAAGAATTGCCGTTTTCGATCGTTTGATCGAGGACATGGTCAACAATATCATTACAAAAATATTTGTGTCCTTCAGACGAATTTCTACATATTTTCTTGCACTCGAGAGTCAGAAGGAAAAGGGTTTTTACAAATGAAGATCTTTAAAGCTCCATATAAAATACCTACGCTTAATCTCTTCCAGTCCTGGAGGTATACCAGTTCGCCCGCGACGCCGCAGTGGCGGAGGCCTGGCTAATAGCACAGGAGCCCTACCTAATGTCACAAGAACTAGGTCATACTATCGACGAAGTAGAGTCTCTCATCAAGAAACACGAGGCCTTCGAGAAGTCCGCCGCAGCACAAGAAGACCGCTTCTCAGCTCTACAGAGGCTCACAACCGTACGTACTTTGTAACTTACTAATAATAATAATTAACTGGTTTTGGTGGTATTTTAGTCACGCTTGTTGTGTGCCGTCGTAGATTATTTTGTTTAATTTTTGTTCTTATTATTTTGTTTTATCACTGGGAAATAAGGGTGTCCTGTGAAGTGTATGACTTATATAGTGATATGCATGTGAATGTTACAGATAACAGTAACATTAAATTCGAATTCTGTATTTCATTTATGCATGATGTAAATACAGAGTCGGATTCAAGACTAATTTGCACGTAATATTAATCAATCCACTTATAATGACTTTAATTTCTAATGGTTGATTTCACTATCCGTTTCTAATTTATTTTTTCTCATTTCTTTTCATCTTCAAATAGCTTGAACAGCGTGAGTCTGCAATGTGGCCTAGTGCACAACCTTGGGATAAATGTGATGAATCAGACTTTACCTACCAACCTCCACCTACCACCCGATCTCATCCACCTCTAACTATAACCATCGACAAAAGCGAAAGACCCGTCAGCCAAGTAGTCGAAGAAATTATAACAGATAGTAATAAATTTAATATACCAGAGAAAATTAAGGCTAGAACACTTAATATTAACTACGCAAATAATCAAAAGAAGAACGATTCCTACCTATGGTCCCCGAATAATAAAAACAATAGTTTATCAACAATATCGGAGACTAGCTCCGCGCCAAACTCGCCCTTAATGTCCCCAATGTCACCAGAGATATACAGTTCAGTTTTCTTTGAATTCCCCGATCAGACTGAGAAAGCGAACGAGTACCTAGCCTGCATAGACTTAATACTATGGGAGCGGTTGTCATATCTAAACGTGTATCCAAACGTGTCGCTACTAAGGCATAAAAGCAATAGTTCATCAAAATCTAGTTTGAAGCGGTTCATTAGGAAATGGTCTAAAAAAGTGAAACCAGAGAATGATGTTAAGGGTGAAGTTGCAGTGCTTTCGCTTCCTGGTCTGACGAGTAGTTCGAAAGCTATTAATGATCTTGGGAAAGATGTCAAGAGTATACCTTTAAGTTCCTCCCTCCTCCTACTGGCACAAACCCGTAACCTCTTGTTTCCCGACGGTGCATGGTACTATAACTACTTGGATAGTGTAAGTGTAGTGTTTGGAGTATTGCATGCTACTGCTTGGGCGCTGCCAAGTATTTGCTTTTGCAGTAAATATTTAGATGCATGGGAGGCGAGGTTAACACATAACTATCTAATTGAGTATTCGAAACTTGTAAATATCATAAGACAAAACATACATTTTAATAAATCTTCTATTTGCTTGAATATAAAAGTTAAAGAACTCCAATTTGTATTTAAATACAAGTAAAGGAGAAGAATCTCCAATATGTTGCGTAATCTTTGCTAAATACTAAAGCTGAGCACGAAACAATTAACCACGTAACAGCTACATGTTTTTCTTGACATACTCACTCGTCTTTTGAATTACAGTTCGAAGTGAAAGAGAAGAAGCGAAGACAGGAGGCTGCCGAGGCTGCCGAGAGGGAGAAGAGAGAGCGCGAGGCTGCGGAGGCCGCGGCCGCCGCCGCCGCCGCGCAGGACGCCGTGGACCGCGCGCAGACTCCCGAGCAACTACCACAAGGTATTGTGGCTATAGTAACTCATTTCGTACTACAAAATACTCTATCTAAGTGTAATTCAAGGTCTTATGACTCGTTGATATATTTTTGTACTGTAGAAGTGCGACCAGTTTACTAATTACAGGTCGATAATGTAGAAAATGTACACTCTAAAAAGTACTATGATGAAAGTATTTGTTAGTCGCCCTTTTACAGTACGATGGACTTACATGACTAAGAATTTACCTAAGTAAGATAATTTTATAGAATAATAACGTATTTAAGCTTCATTTTTGAAGCCAGACTGATTAGGCTGTTATTTCAAAGTATTAACAAGAAAATCGTGAATGAAAAGAATATTCATTTCTAAAATATTAACATCACTTCGTCTCACGGATTGCAATGTAAGCACGCATGTGTAATGTCTTCTTCTAGCACTATCGAATCAGAATATCTACTGTTCAGTACAAAACGATAATTTGAAAAACTTCCACTAACTTTCACCATAACGGTGAATGCTGCTTGCATATTGCAATAACACAATTAGTAATTTTGATGAAGTATACTTTTATAATTATTATGTAAGAAAATTCGTAGGATAATATTGAATTTTAAGTAAAAAGAAATAAAGCACATTTCGCACTACAGCCAAGAAGGCTTACGGCAAGCTTGCCGCTTTACGTGTGAATTTCTTTATGTCCTTTTTAAACGCTTATTCAGTCGACTAACAAAATCAATTCCAAAATATAAGTACCATTGGTTCGGTTGTCGCATGATAAACGAGCCATGGTTGAGTTAGTCGATGGAATACCGCGTGCGACAAGGGCCCGTTACTTACCGATGTGTTGTCCACACATGCACACGCGTAGTCGTAAGGAGAACATCCACTAAAGCGGCTGAGAAGGCCCAAGAGCGACCACATTCCCAGCCAGGTAATAAGAGCGCTTATTATAAACCTACCGATGTAAAAATATACCCGGCTGTTGGCATGAGCTTCTACGGTAGTTTAATATGGGTATACTCTGTATTTCTGTCGGGTTACACTGCGCTCGAAATAGTTAGACACACTGGGAGTTAGTTTATAACTGTGATTAATTTTTATTAGCTTGAAAGCTTTTATTGTACTTAAAGAATTTTCTTTCGTATAGGTTTATTTTCGTAGGTTATGTTTTACGTAATTCGTAGTTGGGGTTCTAGCACAGTTTTATTTTATTGCACGATTTCAATTTATTCTTCACACTACACAGGCTCGTTTTCTTAAGGTGATGGTTTTCTTTCTGTCAACTCATCATCACAAATACTACAAGAATCATTCATTACAATCATCGCTCGGGGCTTAAAACTCAAATACTTTATCACGTACTTTATAACTGAACTGATTGTTTTATGCCCCGATAACTGTCTTATTTTCATCATATTTTTAGATTTATAATGAATATTTTTAAATTATTGTCGTATATATTTTATCATACACTATGTGACGTCATACTGCTAATCACGGTGATGGTTTGATACTCTGTCTCTCATGTCTCTACTGTCTCTATCATTTAAATGAATTATGTTATCATTTCATATTAGTATCCCCACTAGTGAGGTGGCTGTGTTCTCTAAACTATAAAAATAACAATAAAAAATAAATTTTAATTGTTTTATACACTGGCTAGTGGGGAAGCTACCTTGTGAACTTTGCAAACAATTTTATTACTATTATTACCTCTAAGTCGTGTTCGATGCTTTCTATATTCTTGTACAAATGGAGCTGACTCCAACAAGGTAGGTATTACACCCAAACTATACCAGCTTCACTCTATTTGCTTCCTTATATGCATCAGCTTTGTCTATAGCTTATATTTATATTGTTGAATGTAAGTATATTCAAATATTATACAATAAACAGCACTTTACTATCATCACTTGTGCACCTAACATGGGGTGAAGGTTACCATAGATTGCTATATAAAAATGGGTCTTAACATGCTTGATCTCATCATCAAACAAAAGAAACAAAATAAATTGAAATAATTAGCCGGGATATGTTGTATAGGTAGGGTCTTAACTGGAATGTCAATCTTCTAGTAGATTGGTAATTATTCAAATAATAATTTTAATAGCGAAGTAGAAAACTTGTTGTGTAGCATGTATGTTTTGATATTCAATTGTGGACACGTATTCATTGATTTTGAAGCACACATTGAAATACATATTTTTGAAATTATTACTATAGGTATGTGTGTGTATGAATACGTGTGTACAGTTAGTAGCATGTAGTAATACGTAACGTAAGCATGTGTAAGCACGTAGTGTGTAGACGTAACTAGCACGTAGATGTAATGTACGCATGCAGAGTTGGACGAGCCGTCCCCCG